TCAGTGAACATCATTGTGTATATACAGGTCAGTCCCAGCTGGAAATGTATATAAGGATGTACCTCTCTCTCTCAGGATCCCATCTATACTGTGCTTCGTCCTCTTCTCCTGCTCCTCCTGCTCCTTCCTCTCCAGGTCATCCTCATCCTCACCCTTCCCAAATTTACTCCTCAAAGATGCGACTGATAGAGCTGACTGCAAGGAACATAAAGGACAGGCTTGTAGTTTCATTTCGACAATTGTCCACCATCCCATAATTATCTGCCCATGTAATATTCCCAGAGCATGTACACAGCCGTATACTAGACCAAACTATGAGGGAGTGTGGTGTGACACCGACTACAAGCATTCCAACATCTTCCTTTCAAAACATCCATGTATTTCATGGCATCTTGCTGATAACATAGCAATACATAGGATACATTGTAGTTAATTACATCTAAAGGAAATGTTCTATCAATGTTTGTATAATCAAATGTCACTGTTTTATATTACACGAACTGGTGTTTTATTAAAAATCAATAATAGTAATTGCTCAACAATAATACCATCAATAACAATTTTTTTATCATTAGTTATAATTGTAATGTATTATTTTCTAAGTAAGCAGAAGCTGCATTCAATGTAAGGGCAAACAAACAAAAAATAAAAAAAATATTTTTTGTTAGTGACGAATAAAGTTACCTTGAGGTCACATACACATATAAACATATAAAAAACATTATATTATTATTATTATTATTATTATTATTAATAATAATAATAGTAATACTAATAACAATTATAAAATTATTATCGTTATTAATATTATTTATTCTTATTAATATTTTATTATTCAGGACTTATATAGCGCCAACAGTTTGTACAGCACTTTATAATATATTATTAGCAAATATAAAGTTATTACTATTATTATTATTTCTATTATTATTATTATTAACCACTACTTGTACTATTGTTCAACACTAGTATAAATATATATGATGGCTGGGTATTATTATTATTATTATTATTATTATTATTATTATTATTATTAATCTTTTTGTATTGTTATTTACTAATATTATTATTTTATTGTTATATATTATTATTATTGTTATTTTTATTTTATAATTATTATTATTATTTTTATTATTACTGCAACTAGTACTACTTCTTTCCATCACTAGTAAATTAGGTTTCTTGAGGTTACTTGAATTGTCTATAAATAATGAATGCTTGGATATAGTAATATTATTATTATTATTCGTTATATTTTTTTATTAGGATGATGATGAAGAAATACATTCTATAGATTAATCATTCTTTTATAAGCAGGGCTGTATGAATTGGCCACTCATTCTTATTAATTGGTGTAGGAATTCCTCCCCGGCAATAAAAGCATTTTAGGCTGTCGCTGTGTGCACTTTACAATAAGAGCCTATTAACATGTATGCAATAATGCAGACTGTGGTTAATATTTGATGGCTGCAGTTGGCTCCACAGGAGGAGCCACGGCCTCTCCATAGAGCAGCAATCAATAGATTTTATTGCCTAAGTGATGGGGCCGCTTCTAATAGAGATGGATGATCTGGATTATCAATATTAATGGCTGTAATACCTGAAGGAACGGTATTTCGATCACAAACTCCGTCCTTAAGTAATTTATCTCGAATTTCCCAGCTGAACATACCCGGGTTGTCTGTTTAAACTCTTCAATCTTCTTCTCCACATCTGGAGTGGTCACCTGCTTTAGATAGAAGAGGACATAAGGTGAGTCCAGCGGCTGGTAGCAGCTCCAGTCCATCATATCCATCCATTTATCCATCCATTCATACATACACAGGGGAGTGGAGATCACCTTGCACTTCTCCACTTCTGGGCTGACAATTCGGAAGCTGGCAAAAATCTCAGATCACATTACACGAAATGCCACAGGTGGAAGGATAACTACCCCTGCACCGTACAAGAGAGCTACAGATGGGACTAATGATGAGAACACTCAAATCATCCATGCTTATGGGATAGGCGGTCTGAACCTCTCATCACTTCTATCATTAATTCTATTATCTATTTGCTATTTACAAATCTGCTCCACCTGAGTGTACACAGTTATAGAAAATTTAAAAAAAACATATGTAGATTAAAAAAAACACGTACTGTATATATACATTAAAACACATACGATAGATAGAAAGAAAGAAAGAAAGAAAAAAGAAAGAAAGAAAGAAAGAAAAGAAAAGAAAGAAAAAGAAAGAAAGAAAAGAAAGAAAAAGAAAGAAAGATAGATACAAAAATATTCCAAATCCCTAAACACACATAAGAAATATATTCATATATAAACAATAAATATATTAAACAACGAACAACTATTTAAACACACACACACACATATACACACATACAGTATTACATTACTCTCAATGTTAAAAAATATGTATATATGTTTTAGCAATTTATTATATATATATATATTTTGCTTTTGTTATTTTTATTAAATTAATAAAACATATATACATCAATTATCAAAGGGCAAGTGTATTCTGTGGTTTAGCCTGACATGAAGATAGAGCTCCTGCAGTGGGATCTCGCTGACATAAGAGTGGCGCAGTTTGACTCGGGGTCAATTGTGTTTATTGGCTCTATTGATCCCTCCTATGATGGCCAGTAGCAGCATATGGTTGTGTGCACAGGATATCTGACACTGCACTTTCTCCATGTACTCAATGCTCCTATGAGTTCAACAGATACAGTATAAACTCCTGTGCAGTGCAGCCAGTGTCCCAGTCCTAGCTCAGTCCTGCTGATGTCCTATGGAGATACAGAGGATTGGGTGGGATTTCCTTCCAGGGACTGAGCAGCACTCAGATAACAGGTTCTACATTGACACAAGTGGCCCCAGTCGCTCTCTCCCAGTAGGTCCTCACCTTGGGTTTGCTGCCCCCGATTGCTCCTGGTCTGATGGATCCAGTCTCCTGGTACCTGCACAGGATCTTAGACACACAGCCATGGGACACCCTGAGCTGGCGGGAGATAACACAAGGTCTGATGCCATGGTGGGCCATCTCCACTATCTTATGTCTGATGTGGTTGGGAAGAGGCCTGCCATTGATGAACACACCGCCGAGCTGGTTCACTCTGCCTTGTCCTAGAGGAGTGGACACTGCATGTTAAAAAGACATCAGAGAGTTATTATTATTATTCTGATTATTACTATTATTATCATTTCATAAACTGTGACTGAAACACATCACCCCACTTCTCCCCTACCTCCCTGATCCACAGGAATAGTATAGTTCATAAACCCCCATATAAATGCAGAGGAACCTATAGAGATATTATTTCTGGATACATTATCCACCTGACCCACACAGTATAATTTTCATACATTCCCATATAAATGGATAGAGGAATCTATAGAGATATTATCTCTGAATGCATAATCTGCCTGACCCCCATAGTTTGTTCAAACTTCAAGAAATTCCCATATAAATGCATAGAGAAACCTATAGAGATATTATTTCTGGATACATTATCTACCTGACCTATCCAGTATAATTTTCATAAATTCACATATAAATGGATAGAGGAACTATATAGATATTATATCTGGATGCATAATCTGCCTGACCCACATAGATTGTTCAAACTTCAAGAAATTCCCATATAAATGCATAGAGAAACCTATAGATATATTATTTCTGGATACATTATCTACCTGACCTATCCAGTATAATTTTCATAAATTCACATATAAATGGATAAAGGAACTATATAGATATTATATCTGGATGAATAATCTGCCTGACCCACATAGATTGTTCAAACTTCAAGAAATTCCCATATAAATGCATAGAGAAACCTATAGATATATTATTTCTGGATACATTATCTACCTGACCTATCCCGTATAATTTTCATAAATTCACATATAAATGGATAGAGGAATCTATATAGATATTATCTCTGAATGCATAATCTGCCTGACCCACATAGATTGTTAAAATTTCAAGAAATTCCCATATAAATGCATAGAGGAACCTATAGAGATATTACCTCTGAATACACAATCTCCCTGAACCACAAGACTTTCAAAAATCCCCATAGAGGAACCTATAGAGATAAATAGATACATAATCTACCTGACCCACATTGGTAGTATAAACTGTCATAAATTATCATATACATGCATAGAGGAGCCTATAGAGTTAATATATCAGTATACATAATTTAACTGACCCACACAGGTAGTATAAACGTACATAAATCCCTATATAAATACATTGAGGAACCTATTATCACAGGACGCATAATCTACCTGACCCACATAGTATAAACGTACACAAAGGTCCCACCATGTAAATACATTGAGGAGTCTATAGAGAGATTGTCACTGGATACATACAGTATTGCTTGATCTACGCTAGTAAACTGCTGTATAAAAACATATAGGAAACTATATAGATATTATCTCTGGATACATAATCTACCTGAACCACACTGACAGGATAAAGTGTAACACATCCCATATAAAGTACAATGAAGAACTATAGAAATATTGGGAACTATTCACACGCTACTGTTAAGATAGTAAATAATACGAGTGCTTGGCATCATTATTTGTACAAACATTTAGCAAAGCAGGGCCTAAATTATAATTAATCGATTCATTACAGCAATCAGTTCATACAATTAATTTTTTAGGGATTACTAAATGGAACTGTTTTAGTGCACTTTAGTTTGTGGTACACTAATATAAAAATACACACAAATCTCAGTCAACAGACAAAACAACTTTTGTTGGTAAAGTTTTCCAAAACTAATATATATATATATATATATATATATATATATATATATAAACAAAACTTTTTAAATATTTTATATATATCTATATATATATATATATAAACGTTTTTATATGTTTTTTGTTTTGTTTTAGTAATTGTGAAATACATATTTTATGCTATTTATTTTCTATAATGCAAAACACCACTAAAAGTACTCAAACAGATGTTTGCAATAATTCAGCACTGATCATCTGCACATTATTCTAAGCAAATAAGTGTAAGATGTAATAATGACATATATATATCTCCATATGTATATATATATATATATATATATATATATAATTATTTATATATATATATAATTATACAGTTGGTCCCTCAGTGTTCCCGACATATTATTACACTGTAAACACTTCCCCTCCATGGAGCACCCTGACATGAGCTGTGGAGGAGCTGACAGCAGGCAGAGGAGACAGTCAGACAGACAGCGATGTGCACTTTCATAAAATAATCATAACCTCCTCCGAATTGTACGGAGACTGGACAGCCCCGGGGATTTATCAAATGGGCCTCCATGTCTGACACTTAAGTACAATGACGTATGTGTGTGTATACTGCTCAGGGGGTGCACAACACCAAATATATATGTGAATGTGTGTTTTTTCTAAATATTTCCATAGATTAGAAAATATATTTATATATATATATATATATATATATATATATATATATATATATATATATATACAGTATAATACATATATTAACTAATATACATAGCGAGATTGATGATAGATATAGAGATAGATAGATAGATAGATAGATAGATAGATAGATAGATAGATAGATAGATAGACACTGTAGATAGATGAATCTAGTGTACACACACACATATACAATTATTGTACAATTATTTTTAGCACACATATATAAAGTATAAATTTGGATGTAACAATTATTATTGTAGATTATATGTAGGGATTATTTCCTAAGAAGATGTTATTGCAAAATATTTGATTCTAAGCAAAGCTCCAGAAATCAGGTTTGTGTCATTTAAAATAGAGGTAAGTCTCACTTTGTATAACTGCAGCTGATCCCTATTTTATTAAGTAAGAAATAAACCCCCAGAGAAAGTGACAACGTTCTTAAAAATAAATCTAACAACAATCACCAAGGTACCAATAGATTGGTTATTGGGATATTTGGTGACATTTTAGGGACAAAGCTTTCCAGGCCCGAACTTGGATAAATCGGGCAGTGTGTGGAATTAGGATGATCGGTCGGTCGGTCGGTCAGTGGGTGGTGTGATTTCAGATGAGATCGGCCGAGGCTCAGCTGATGTGATCAGTACCTTCTAGTGGGAATCCAGTCCTGGGGTAGTTCTGTCCAGGAGCCGGTCTCATCATTCTTGGCACAGCTCCAGCCAGGCTTGTCATGTTGGGGTGGAGAGTCCCAGTGATAGGTCCCAGGACAGGTTCAGATCCGGGTGGAGGCACAGGCAGGTCCAGAGGCTGACTTCACTGTCCGGATCCCTGTGTGGAGAGGCGGCAGCTCCAGAGTGAAAGGAAACCTCCTCCGGAGTATTTATTAGTTCTTTCAAGCCAGGCTGCATCAGGATCCCCGGGCTGCTATTGGCCAGCGAGGGGCATGTCCCGTCTGCAGAGCGCGCCTCTGATTGGTTGGAGCTTGCCACTTTCTCTTCCCATCATTGAGGGTCAGTGTCGGCGATCCCTATCTCTTCCCATATCACATCACACGCCGCATTGCTCCCTAATGGGCTGCTCACTGCTATTTACTAACACACATTAACCCCTTTGTTTTTCTGAGGACACTCAAAGCGTTAAACCTTAGAAATAAAAACAAAAACAAACAAAAAAACAGAACTCCCAAGAAAGTTCTATTTATTGATCATATTATATATTTACATTTGTTTATTATTGTATTTGTTTCTTTTTTTAAAAAAAATGTTTTTGGGTAATTTTTGGGTTTTTTTTTTTTTTTTTTTTTCTGGCTATTTCGTGTTTTTTTTTTTTTTTTTTTTTTTTTTTTTGGTGATAGAGTGGGTGTCTTTTCACTATAGCATTTGTTGAAAGGAATTTATAGTAGCATTGAGTCTGGAGCAGAGGATAAATAGGAGCAGGGGATGGAGGATCCCTCAGCAGGAGATGACGCCAGGAAGGTTGTAAAGGCTGTCTCTCCTCTCTCTTCTCCTCTCTCTCTCCTCTCTCTGGATGTAAGGTGCCATTGTCAGCGGCCATTTATTGAGAAGATGGTCAGTGCCAGCCAAGCGGCCGCTTTCCTCTCGCAGAGCTGCCCTGCCTCTCTATTTGTAAAAGCCTATTCAGGGGAACTGTCAGTGCTGCCACTGAACTCATTCACCGGCCTAATCAATCAAAAGGATGAGAAACATTCACATTTCGCCTTTGAAATAAAAAAAGAAAAAAGAAACAATGATTGCCACGATTAACCTCTTCCCAGCCGGGAGACACTTGCCAGGCAGATTCTGGAGGGTGCCCCCATCAGGCAGGGGAAGGGTTAATGCGGACCAAGGATTTGGGGGGGGGGGGGGATTGCCCTTCATAGGAGGGAATTATTAATGGATAAACACCGATCTGTCACTGGAGATTCAACAGATGGGAAGAAATAAATATCTTCACATCCCACTACTGGCTGGGTGTATGGGGAGCCTCCTGCTTCAAATGATTTCATCATCAATCGTATAATCTACTTTTCTGATTATTTTATATTTGTATATGAAGTTATAGGACTTCATGAGAAAAATGTTCCCTTTGGAGATTCATGGCATCCCATGGCTTAAAAATTGAATGACTTGGATCAAAATAATCAGGAATAGATTCATGCAGGATTTTTTATAGTATTATTTGTGGCCAATAGAAAATAAACTAATCTAAGTAAAATTATCCACACAAATGGGAATAGTAAAAAGTAATACAATTCGCTGGGCGATACAAAATGATACAAAATTATATAAAATGACGATGGGACCGACATCACTAATATCCTCTATTTTCTCTCCCATCTCTCTCTCTCTATCTATCTCTCTGGCTCTCTTTCTCTCTCATACCCTCTCTCTTTTTTTTTATCTCTCTCTCTTAGCTCTTCCTTTATTTTACAACAACAATTTTTTAATAAATATCCATTGCATACCATTTTACAGACCCACTTGCAATCAGTTTAAATAAAAATAATGTAAAGAATAATAATGATGGGTTAATTCTGATTGTGTACTATTAAATATCAACTACATACTTTTTATAGACCCGTATGCAATTAGTTTATATAACAATAATACAACTATTATTATTATTATTGTTGTTATTATTATTATTATTATTATTATTATTATTATTAATAATAATAACAATGACAATAATAAAATAATAATAATAGTTAACTACAGCTCTTTCCCATTGTTACTATTTATTGCCTGGGCAATCCATCCAGACCCATTTATAGGAAGGTCCCCATAGATGCACAGATGATACAGTGATCATATACCCTGGCATGTAGATGTCACAGAGCAGACGTCTGTGTTATCTATAGGACTGTATTCTCGGTGCATACATATGATGTGTATTGGCAGTTTATTGTAAATTACATTTATATACGCCTTTATCGCTGAGTTAATAGGTCTAACAAATATAATAATAAATAAACTGACTCAATACAGAAGTGGAGGGATCACACTTGAAAACAGGAAAGTTGTTCACCTGTTCCTAATATCCAATAGAGAACAGAATACATTGTCTCCTATGTTGTCCAATTGTTTAGCAGAAAAAAAAATATTCTAAAAAAAGGATATTTTTATCAGGTCAAGCTTCCCTTAATGCCAGAAGGGTAAAGTACATCTTTTACTTATTTCTTAATTTACAAAAAATATTGTTGATTTTATGTATGCCTGTATATTGTAAATATTTCTCCAAAAAGGTGAATTATGGTTTAGAGTTGGCAATTATGAAAATATTACAAATGAGTTTTCGAGAGATTCTTGATTTTTGGATAGTCGGTGATAATAACAGGCAACGTTTGCGTTCAATGGGCGGTTCATAAAAGGAAAGTCTTGTCCTTGTCATCACATGAAAAGTCACTTTATTAAAGTCCATTAGCTGATGTGACCGCATCTTAGAGGTTGGGGGCTGTGTTATATCAATAATAGGTGTACCTCCTTCCCTGATATCAGTCCCCTCGTATTGATGACTTTATACTCCTTATGTGTACAAGTGGTTTTAGGTTGTTTAATTTGCAAAGCGCCTATTTAAGGAATTCTGTGTGTATGCTCAATACTCAATGATGTGAAAATGAATAACAGAAATAAATAACAGGATTTGCTTGCACATGGTGACTGAAGTAAACACATTTTCAGCTTAAACTCAGTGAGCATACCGTTTGCAAAGTGAACAATTCCCAAAAATGAACATTCACTTTGCTAAGTGAACAGTCTGTTCTCATTTAGTAAATCAGTCCCATTGTGTTAAATGTAAGCTGCTTGATTCCCATTTAAAAAATGTTGCAAATACTACTGCTAAAAAATGAAGAAGTCAGAGGAAGCCAGTGGGGCACAGTCCTCTGCTCTGCACTAATTACATATGAAATGAGGACTGCTTTTAGCTCGTTTGCAATGAATTCCAGTTTGGATGCCCCTGCTGTTCCCTAACAAACACATTATGTCCCCCCACTGAAGCAGACACTCACTGCATGGGCAGTCTGATTTGGAGCATTCAGGACTACAGTCAGACTCAGAGCCATCCACTGAACAGAAACTACTACTCCTTGTCATCAGCCCCAGCTTCATGGAAATATATTAATGACATGACAGTTCTATGTGCTCCTTTGTCCTAGCAGAGATCGCTATAGTCTATGAGATGATCGAACTGATAGACTCATTTACTAAAGAAGACTATTTTTCCTTAGATCATTGAACTTGTCCAGTGCGATTGTGGCATGAGCCTGGCCGATTCTCTAGGTATCCCAACAGATCATTCAGAATTTCCTGACAGGTGCTTTAAAAGCAATGCCAATGACTTAAATTGTATGATAGTTATTGTATCCAAGGGAAATCCCCAACACACGGCCTATTGGGGTACTGGAGAACCACTCCTCTGGGGAAATCATACAGTAGACTAAATGACCTTCCAGCCTAATATATGGGTGGGTGTCCAGTGCATTTGGGGGTCTACTAGTAATGGAAATTTCTGTTTCCACCATGTTTGTTGGTATTTATATTATATTGCACTATATTATATTACATTTAAATCCTGAACAAGGGGTTAGGCATTAAAATTTCCCCACCAGTTCTCATTGCACGCCCCTGTACAGGTAATAAATGAGGATAAATGAGGACTACAAGTACAAGGCAGTAGATGATAATTCAACAGAATACTCAGCCTGTTGTTATAAATTGTGTATTACTACAAACTAGTAACATACACTACAGTCAGTGCAATAAATAGAATCCCAGCCTTCAGCTTCACATCAGAGCCCTGGCAGAGACGTCTGTCCTTACACCCCCTCACTGGTGTGCACCTCATGTAATATTACAGGCATGCTGTGAAATATCACAACAGGGAGCCATTTGTCAAGAGAACTCCAACTGCATTACAAGCCTGTAAAGTTTTGCAAGGTAGGTTTAATGCTGTCACACTTTAGTACACTTCTGGGGAGACAGAACACATGACAAAGGTAGGCAGAGGCCTCTACAGAAGACTGAGCCATTAGGATGATTTACTAAAGGAGCTGAGAATCCTCACACAATCTCCACTTTTATTAGATTGTAAGCTCTTATGAGCAGGGCTCTCTTAATCCTCTTGTTTATTTATTGTATTCTACCTGTACTGTCTCCCTTTTATTGTAAAGCACTGCGAAAACTGCTGTCGCTATATAAATCCTGTGTAATAACAACAACAACAATAACAATAATAAGACAAAATAATAACTTTTATTTTTCTATCATATGCAGATGAAATATATAAATAGGGGTTTGCTTATCACTTTAGATATATTGCTTATATTTGAGAAACTGAAGTGATATTGGATATTTTATTATTAATATATTATTATATAACCCTCTTGTATTGAACTTTATTGTTGCTGTATTGTCTCCCTTTATTTTGTAAATCGCTGAGTAAACTGTTGGCACTACATAAATCCTGTATAATAATAATAATAATTATTATTATTATTATTCAAATATTTGTCATTTGTCATCTACTTCGAAAGTTCACTTTCATTCTGAGTTTGTAATTTTCAGCTGAGCTCCTCTTGTGTGTGTGTACAATAACATGTACTAAAGAAAACATATAGGGGTTGGTTTATAAAAAAACATAAACAATAAAAAAAGCCTGGAGAGTGCAAAATCTGGTGCAGCTGGGCATTGTAGCCAATCAGCTTCTAACTTCAGCTTGTTCAATTAATCTGA